CTTCCAAGCCAATGCCATCTGCTATCATCGCAGACATTTTCAAGCTAATTCATTCAGACCTTGGTTGCCTGCGCTCACAGCTTCTCACATGTGAAGGTGCACCACATTTAAGCACGACAGCACATATGCCATGCTAGCCAAGCATGCCCGGCGATGTGTTTCTGTGCAAGGCTTCGTCAGGATATACTGTGGCACTGATAGGCGACAACGGCTGCATCTTCCACTTCTGGATGGTTACTAGAGCAATGTCATCTTCACCGCCACATCATTTGTCAAGGCAAGCAAGGTGACCAGTGGTCTAGCAGATGGGGTTGCAGTCATCCAGGAGGCACTAAGTTTGATGGATAATGACTATTGCCGCTCAGCATTGGACTACCTGGGGTTGAATCGAAGTTTTCAGCATTGATAGATGGAGCTCACATCTAACAGTTCCCGAACCTGGGGCTCACGAGCTGGGTGTGGCCTGTGTTCATGGGCCCAATCACAGGCGGCGGCCTGAGGTTTCTTATCCCAGGCCCAAATGGCGATGTGCAGGCTGAACACATGAAGATGGTCCAGAAGCTGATATTTGAGTTGTAAATGGAGTGCTTTACTTATTGGAGAAGGATTGTAATAGGACAAGAAGCTTCAGGGCATAGCCAGGTTCTCCCTGGTGAAACGTCTGAATCTTCAGAGTGAGCCCAGTTACTGTTGGTCTTCAAATCTTGTAGAGTGAATTCAGGGTCCACCATTTTATGGGAATATTTGGAAAACATCTAATTGTACAATTACCAGTAATGAGTCCTATTTAGAAAAAGGGGGGGGAAACAATGCAGGAAGGGTTTACAAAGTTACATTCTGTGAAGAAACTTGATGGAGGGAAATCATTGCAACTATGGCTTGGGTCTGGTGTTTCCTTCTGCCTGGAGTACAATCTGTCACTCTGGCTTGGGTCGGATTGAGCTGCTAGTGAATACTCAGGTTGGCTGAAAGTTTCCTCTATGGCAGATCTGTGTTCCTGATGTTTCTTCAAGGTCATGTTACAATAATATGACCCATAATAACATGTGCAAATTTTCATTATTTTTCCAGATTGAACAAGCAGCTGTTTGTGTGTTGAGGGGTGGGGGCAGCTGCGGTCTTTTGCTTTGTTCGCTCTCTTGGCGCAGAAACGCTCCTTGCGGGGTACGCGTGTCCTGTAACTGCCGACTGCAGTCCGCTGCTGTCCCCGTTTCAAGGCTACTACTGGTTTGCGGAGTGCGGCCGACATGTGGGGCACTGCAGACGCCGAGGCTGATACGCTCGGGGAGCCCCACCGTTGGAGACCTGAACTGAAAGCACAGGAGGGGCCTCACGCAGCCCGAGGCCACTGCAGGGGAGCACACCCACTCCCACCCGGCCCACCTCGCCGCCTCCGCCCTCTTCTCTGCCCCCGCGCCGCCTCCCTATGTCCCCTCTCGTTCTCCCTTCCGCGATGAGGCAACGGCGCAGCGACTTGAGGACCGGGCTAGTACACTCCCGTCGTTCCGCGACCGATGAGGCCGCGGTGCCGCCCGGCGGAGCATTTCGCGGAGTGCCGGCCGGCGCGCCACGACGGCTCCGCTGCGCCGCGACGCGGGCTGGCTGGGCTCCGGTGTCCACGCCGCGGCTGCTGTCTGCGGCGGGTCCTCCGTCTCGCGAGCTTGGCCAGGGGCCCTTGACCCCGCAGAAGCTGCCGCTACCTGGCCGCCGGCGCTGCGACGACCCGTGAAGGTGCAACATTGCTCGCTCGACTCGTGTGCGGCCGTCGTGCTGGCGCCGCCGCGAGCGGTGGGCGGGCGCCCCCGTGCGCGCACTAGCCGCTCGACGCGACGAGTGCCAATGCCAAGCCGTCAGCTTTGGCGCCCGTGTGTGCCTTCGCAGCTCCGCTGCGTCTCGTTCTTGCTCGCATCGGCGCACCACGTGCTGAATCGTGGGACCACACCAGGTGCTACTCTTACACCAATCCTCGATCACCTCGTGATTGTTCGAATTCGTATTTCTCACGCTTATCTTGCTAGCTGTTCTATTTGGATCCGCAGTCATCGTTGAGGGTCTTGAACCTTTCCTCGTGCTCGCTTCCGCTTACAACTGTTATCTCTGCCGATCATTAAGTCACACTCTGATTTCGCTACAACTAAGCCTATATATGTATATATTTATGTAACTCTGATTTTTCTACAATTAAGCCTATATATTTATATTACATTTAAGCACCGTTCTCAATTGTTAGAATAACTAAAGTTTGTCCACATAATTTGATGCTTTCAATTTATTTATATCTGAAACGTGCATTTTAAACTTGAAACCTTGCTGGTCTGTCTCGAGATATTTTTGCCCCCTGGTTCTATAAGATTTTATCGGAAAATAAATTAAAAGCAGATAGACGTGGAAGGGGAGGAGAAGGGAATGTTAAGGCATACAGCTGTCGCGGTCAAAAAGTAGGTGGGCCGGGCCGCTGTAACAAGCAGGATAGAGAAGTGCCCTTCAAGAAAAAAAGCGTGACATCGTGACATCACTGTGATACGGCATCGTGTTTCGTTCGAAATTTGAGATTCACATCGCCTTAATGACTTAATCCACTTTATCCTATTCGTATTTATTATTAACAAACAGGATTAATTGCCGAACCCCATTTTCTTTACTGCACACGGCTTGCTATTGATGACGGTGGAATCTGGATTAACCATTTAACCGCCTTCCTGATTGGGCAGGTCAAGACAAAGGCGGTTCACCGGGCTCTCGGCGTGAACTTGTCTGGGCGTGACGCGTGCCGAAGCCGAAGCCTGCTCGGTGGAGCCGATCCATCGGCGCGTGGGCACCCAACCCGAGCGAAGCAACCGACCGGAGGCGTGGGAGTGGGGTGGGGCTGGGTATAAGTGCAAGTGCCCCCCTCCCTTGCATGGGACGACCGCATTCTCTCGCTCTCCTCTCTCTCTCTCTCCCCCAGTCTCTCTCCCTTTCCCTCGCTCTCGCTCTCGCTCTCGCGCTCTCTCTCTCTCTCTCCTGCGAGGACCGCCCGGGAAGGTGAGATCGATCTCCCTGTTCACTCCCCTTTCTCTCTTCTCCAAGTTTTAGCCCGTAAGATCTCTTTTCCTTCTGCCCTCAGCGCTGCGATTTCGTCTCGTTCCCGTGCATGTTCGTGATCGTGTTTTATTTGAATATTGCTGCTGTTTTTCCTTGTCGTCGACCGGATTCCATGCTCGAGATGTGCTGGTGCTTTTGGATTTGCGAAACCCTGCGAGATTTTGACCCGCGGATTTGGTCTTGTTGTGACTTGTTCCTCCGTGTTTTGGTGCTGTTGGTGGTGGTGGTGGTGTTGCCGTTGCTGGGGTTTTACTGTCGTGGTGGTTTTTGTGGTGGTGAAGGAGGTTGAGGGGGCCGCCGGGGCACCGATGGTTCCATGGTGATCTCCGATCGCCTCCCACCTTCGAACTCGGGCAGTCGGGCATACTGGTTCTTCTGGTTCGTCTCACCGTCGATATCTTGACGGCTACCCTTTGCTTTGGCGTGCTTACAATGTGGGAATTGTGCGGTGCTGGTGAGCACTCTCGTTTGGAGTTCCATCCTTCTTCGCGAGACCCTGGATCTCCGAAACTTTTTGCGCGGTTGTGCCCTCAGTTCGGACTTCGCGCTTGTTGTTGTTGCGTTCCGTATTCGTTTTTGCCGTTGCTTTTCGTATTGGTTTATTCAGAGGGAAGGCATCCAGCTAATAAGCACCGCGACTCCATGGTGAACTCGATTCACCTTTCCTCTCGAAAATTCTGCCGTCCTTTCATCAACCGTTTATCGTTTAACTCCTCTTGTCGTTCGTGCTACTGCTTATGTGCGTCAGAACTCGAGGATAAATCTGCTCGTGATCTGTCTATCTTTTTTTTTGTTGTTTTGGTATCTGCTATACTCGGCATGTTTGAGAGATCGCTGTTTTTGAATGTGGTTTTAGGGTTTTAGAAACGTGTGGATTTGGACCACCTTTTTTCTTACCCCGTTTTCTGTTGATCTTCTCGACACTACTGGGCGTGCGACAGGGATTGGTCTCTGCCTGTCCCTTTTCCTGTTTCCTTCATTGTTCCCTTTGTTGGATCTCCATCTCGATTTTCCTTTGCTGAACAATTTCTGATCGTTGTTGTCGTGCCATCATGCGCTGCAAACTGCATGCCCTTTTATTTTCTCCCCCTTGCTTTTTACTAACCATGTAAGTTAAGCTTGCAAAATTGAGTGTGTTTTCTTGGCTATTACTCCAATTTCTTGTCAAGGATGTTATGTAGTGGCATATCGCTATGTAGTTCCTTCCTGTCAGAAAAGTTTGTAATGATAAAGCATCACTCAATCATGACTGTTGCTTGTTTTCACTTCATCTAGATAGAGTGCCTATACGATTAGTTTGTTATTTGGCATGTTGAAGTAATGGTCCTCAAAATTCATACAAGCTGAAATTGCTATTCTGATTTTGAAATGAAGCTGTGTGTTATCACAAAATCTTAGTTCACTTTAGGGTTAGTTTTTGAAATAGATCTTAGGTTTTCAGAACTTTGTTAATGCATCCTTGAAAACTGCTGCTTCTTCCATATTATACAATTGTCCTGTAATGCACCCAAGGGCCCTGTTTCCAAACCTCGGTAAAATCCTGCATGCCATCCAAAATTGTCTCTGTTGGTTCCTTGACCATAGAAATGGTCAAGATAAGGCGAGTTCTGCATTGAGCTTTCCAAGCAATGGTGTATGCCTATCTATGTTTTGTTTCTGAAATGAGATCCTAATTTGCATAGGACAATGCCAGTGCTAATAAATCTTTCTATTTGTATTTCATCAATGCTTTCTGGCACTTCTGTGATCATAAACCTGATGTTAGTCCATCTTAATATAAAGATAAGCAGCTCTCCTGTGTGCTGGAGAAAAAAAAAACCCTGATGTTAGTTTGTTCATTTCGAAAAAATTTCCTGGTTATGAATTTTTAGGATATTGTACTCACACTAGTATGCAGCAGGATATCAAGCTCCGCTATGGCACTTGCTGTACCTGTGACACTAAAGACTACTGAGGAGGGTCAGAATGAAAGACTTGATTACGCCGTGTCAGCTATGCAAGGACACCGTGAAAATATGGAGGATGCTGTGAGTAACCTACCAGCCTTTGTGTAGGATCATTGGGTGCATAGTTATATGAAATACAGATGATTGACTTGCTAGTTGCTATAAGTTGCTGCTAAACAATTGAAGGCTCATGTTAACCTTCTTTCTCTGCAGCATGCAATTGTCTTAAATCTTGATGCTGCAACTGGCACATCATTCTTTGGTGTTTATGATGGCCATGGAGGTCTGATCTTCACCCAGATGTTTAGCTACTTGTGCCCATTACATTCTTACTATGGATTCATGAGTACTGTTGACTCGTTTTACCATGATATTTGATTTATCGGAAATTCTGTTTCAGGACCTGCTGTTTCAAAGTATTGTGCGAGACACTTACACATTGAGCTTCGCAGACATGAAAGATTTCGTGATAATCTCCAAATTGCAATTGAGAGAACGTTCTTAAGGTTTTCAACCTTTTGTAGCTCACTGAATTCATGCATTATATATTTTTAGATGGCATAAGTTATTTCCCTCCATTACTATAGTGGATGACAAAGGACCAATATTGCCACATTCTTTGTTCATAGTTGATAGTTGAACTTTTGCTGCACGTGCAAATAAGAAATATGTAATCATTTTTCCTACTTTGCTGCTGCAGGATGGATGAGATGATGAAAGACAGGAGCGCAGGGAGGGAATTATCTGGGTATGGTGGTAATGACAATTGGAAAGCATATAGAAAGGCTATGCGCACGAGTCTATTTCTACCCTTCTGTCAGGTTCTTACTCAACTGTTTTATTTATAAAATCTAGCATATGAAAGCTTGTAAGTTGTAACATTTCACTTCATCCTCAATATTTTTCCAGAAGCCTGCCTATCCGGGGCCAGAAAATGATGGATGTACCGCGTGTGTGGTTCTCATTAGAGGCAACCAAATCATTGTGGGAAATGCTGGTGATTCTCGCTGTGTACTCTCAAGGAATAATCTGGTCTGTTGACTCATTCTTTTGTCAAGCATATGTCTGATACCAAATCAGCCTGATATTTTGTACCACTAAATGTATTCTAATGGTGCCTAATACTCTGTTATTTCCATTATATGCAAAGGCGATTGATCTATCCAACGACTTTAAACCAAACCTTCCAGCTGAAAGACAAAGAATAGAAACTGCAGGACATGAGGTAACTTTTAGTGAGAGAGGAAATGTGCATCGTATTGATGATGGAATTGCGATTTCAAGATCACTTGGTACAGTTCTGCCTGACTTTTTAGTCCATTGTGGGATTCTACAATTGATTGTGTTATCAGTGTTTTACTTCTTTGCAAAAAAAAAAGTGTTTTACTTCCTTGCATTTCAGGTGACCTGCTGTACAAGGATAACAATAATTTAGGTCCCGAACAACAAGCAATTACTGCCTTTCCTGAAGTTCGCACTGTAAGTATTACTATATTCTGTCACCAAAATGTGATTTTATCCATCTGGGTACCGTCTGATGGAAAATTGCCCCTTATTTGTTAGGAAGAGATAACTCAAGATGACCAGTTTCTTATCATAGCATGTGATGGAATCTGGTAAGTTTTCAGCTAAAAGACACTGGTGCACTGTTTTACGTCCTGTTTTATTTTGTTTGCTTCGAGATGTCCTTTATTCCATGAAAAATACAACAAGTTATGATAGTTATCTTCCACACATTTGTCTCTTCCAAGTTCTTTATATTATTGTTCAAATTGTCCACAAGGGGCGGGGTTTATAGGTTTTGGTTCAGTTAAGTTTTATTTGCTTTGGACTGGGCCACTGCACCACCAATGCTATTTTGTATGGTTTCTTGAATTTCTGGATATAATAAGTTCTTTCCTGAGTTTGATGTGATGGGCCCAGAAGGGTCAGAGTTACAGGATGGTGCCAATCCTCTGTTTGCTTATGTTTATAATGTCTAGTGTCCAGATAATTGTGCAAGTTAATCTGCTGAAAATTATCATGAGATTTGTTTGGTTTATTTTGGAAGAACTTTTAAGAACACGAATTTTACCAAAGGTCTGGAACTCACTCTGGATAACATCAGTACTTAATGAAACATAATGGTGATGTTGTGACAAGGATTCTGGACAACCTGAGTAGTACTCGCTGATGTAAATGATTTTTATGTTGTCTGCCCTAAAATTCACACAGCTCTTCCATGTCCTTTTTTGTAGGGATTGCTTAACAAGCCAGCAAGCAGTTGATTTTATAAGGATATACTTAAATGCTGTGAGTATTCTTCCCCCTTGAGCATATCTGCTCGTTTGAAAATGATGCACTGTACGGGAAGATTTTTGCTATTAGATCCTTTAAAAAGGTTTGGATGCACGATACGCTTTTTCATTGAGAAATATACAATACATGCAAAATATTATCCCATCTGTGTAGTAGTCAAAATTTATTAAAGAATTTTTATCTGCATGGATAGTTGTGTGCTTGACTGCTTGCCTTTTTTTTTTTGGCTACCACCTGACTGATCGGCATTTACAGTCTACACTCAGATAGTATACATGGTTTGCATCTTGTCCATCTTTTGTCACTATTGCCCCCTAACAAATGTTGTTGTCCAGGACGTAGGGCTGGCGTTCATCTGCGAGGCCCTCCTTGGACACTGCCTGGCACAACCTAGAGGGTGGGACAACATGACTGTCGTACTGGTTCGGTTCAAGACGCCAGGCTCTTGCCAAGTTAGGGGCCGCAACGCACTGCCACGGCCGATCAACCAAGCTGCCGCCGCCCAAGCTGCTGCGGAACAAGCTGCTGCGGAACGAGCTGCTGCGGAACGAGCTGCTGCCGCCCAAGCTGCTGCGGAACGAGCTGCTGCGGAACAAGCTGCTGCAGAACGAGCTGCTGCGGACCGAACTGCTGCCGCCCGAGTGCCCCCACCCCCAGCAATCCGGGCGGCCACCAGTACTTCCGCACCGTCCACCCCCAGCTTCCCAGGCGCACCCAAGACCAAAAGCCCCGAGAGCTCCAAGAGTTCAGAGCTTTGAGTTCGTTTTGTCAGGAAAAGATGAACTTGCTTACCCTGGTTCTTTCATGTGGTGCATCTTATCCCCCACAGAGTTTGGATTCGTTTTATCAGGACAAGATGAACTTGATTTCGTTTTGCGTAGGATGATTTCCTATGAGAGTAGCTTGTCGTTCTAGGCACTGACGATGGAGTTTTTGCCTGTGAGCCATATGTTTAGGTTATCACAGCAATATTCATGTTTTCTACGGTCTGGAGGATGCTTAATGTCCTAGTACTGTTTTTTGAATGGATATTGCGATCAGAACTTCTATATGCATTTTGTGTGTCTTTGATCTTTCATGCCTGGATCTTTCATGCCTGGATTTAAGCTTGCGTATGTATTTGCTCTGCCTTAAGATCGAATGTTCCACCTACATCAGATTACAATGCCTTACAATGTGCTTATTATTGCATATTTGTTTCAAGTTTTGTTCTTGAAAGCTTGATTGGAACTGCGAGTGCACCTTAGGCACTCTAGATTACTGTGATCTGGTACTACCATGGAGTTTGTAGGATCTCTAGATCAAGCCAGCAAGTATAGAAGTAGGATCCGATGCTGAAAACCCCTGTTTGTACAATTGTGCCCATTGCATTCGCCGGCCTTGTCGCCCTGAGGATTGAGATTGTAAGGTCAAGCTGAACCCGCAGTCACTCATATTGCAATTTAGTGCGCCCCAAGCTTGCCTGTCGAGCTCTGGCCTCTGGGAAGCTCCTCCCGTCTGTACCAGGTTTCTGCGTGAGCTGAACCGCGCGCCCCGACGCTGCACCTGGCGATGGGGCTGTCGCTCTTCATGATTGCATCTCCAGCTCGGCCGCTTCCTACCCCTATTCTGTGCTGGGTCAGTGGGTCTTCATACACAATGCTAAATCTGCGCTTCGCCGGGTCTGATCTCCGGCCATCTGAGCTGTCTGTCTCCATGTAGGTGAGCCTGCGTTTACCGCCGTCCTCGCTCGTTGAACCCCAGAAGGCAGAGGACGACATGCCGCGCCCTTGCTGTCCTCAAAGTGCCCGCGGGCGCGTAGCCGAACCGATGCGACCGTTCGCCCGTTTCAAATCTAAGTGGGCCGGCCCATATACAGCCCATCCAGCAGACGGTATCACGATCCGGCGCGCATTCCTCGTTCAGCCCATTAGGCCCACCTATCCCATGGGAGTCAGTCACTCGGGTCCATTCTATAAAACCTCTGCCCGGGGGCTAGGGTTTCCTCCCAGCCGTCATCGCTTCGCGTCAGCCTCACCCCTTCGCCAGGAGAGGTAAGGTAAGCCACCCGCCGCCGCCGCCCTACTCCTCCCGCCACATCTCTTCACGGCCCAGCCGTCGTGCTTTTAGCCTTCCGAATCGGATGCACTTGTTTGTTGGGTAGCCAGCTCGGTCGGTTCGTGGAAGAGCCCGGATCTGCTCTCTACGCGCTTGTTATCGTGAGGTCTTTCGGCGGGAGTTGTCTCGCGAGGTGTAGCTCGCGAGTCAAGGTCTCTTCGCCTTGTAGATTTTGTGTATCTGCTCGTATCGGTAGCTTTTGCTGTTAATCGTGAGAAGGTTCTGTGGGGAGTCTCTTTGACCTTAGTACGCTGATCCCATCGGTGTAATGATATGTACGCTGTCTATGTTTCTAATATTCTTGCCATGGTTGATTTGGGGATGATGTTGATTTAGTAATGGTGTTTTTATGATTCTGTTTTTGGAGCTCACTTTGGGTTAACGCTAGACAGAGAACTGGGCTGTCGGTTAACGCTACACTGGGAACTGTTGCTAATCAGGAGCTATTCATGTAGAGCACAAAATCCTTCTATGGTTCACTACAATTTTCATGATTTTGTGTCTTCTCCTTTGCTTCTTCACCCCTGACATAATGGTCTTTCTTTCTCTGTTTCCAGGTCAGGAGAGTTTCAAGAAGCTGAAATGGCTCCTAAAGGTACACACCTAACATTGCATATTTCTATAGGTGCCATATATTTGATCAAGAAATGCCCTGTGTCAACCTTGAAATTGCTATAAGCTGAGTGCTCAGAGTCATGCATTTCATGTTTCGTTTGCTTGTGTGTCGCCATTGTTAAATTGTAGGTATTAGTGGGTATTCGTTCATTTAGCACTCAGATGTAACCACTACCTGTTTGTTTTACTCATGCCTTGCCCAGAACATGTGAATCATCTCAAAAGGGGGGCGGGGGGCGGGCGGGGGTATAGAATTAGCTAACTGTAATTACTACTTTGTCTCCTGAATACAGATAGGATCTCTAATGCAATGATGTCAATACTGTGTACAAAGCTTTTCTATTTTTGCGCACATCGCCATGCATGAAATTCATGAACCTGTATGCATGACTGTACTGTATAGAATTAGCAGCTTTTCTATTTCTATTTGATAGGCTACTGTACTGTATGCATGACCTGACTATTTTATCTAACTGTGTGGTTTGATTAGCTGCTCCTGCCAAGAAGGGTGATGCCAAGACCCAGGCCTTGAAGGTTGCCAAGGCTGTGAAGTCTGGGTCTGCCAAAAAGAAGACCAAGAAGATCCGCACGTCCGTTACATTTCACCGCCCCAAGACCCTGAAGAAGGCTAGGGACCCGAAGTACCCAAGAATCAGCACTACTGGAAGGAACAAGCTTGATCAGTACCAAATCCTCAAGTACCCCCTCACCACAGAATCTGCGATGAAGAAGATTGAAGATAACAACACTCTGGTCTTCATTGTCGACCTCAAGGCAGACAAGAAGAAGATCAAGGCCGCTGTCAAGAAGATGTATGACATTCAGGCAAAGAAGGTCAACACCCTGATCAGGTTAGCACTCGCTCTAGTTTTAGGCCTTGTTTAGATTGCCTCAAAATTCCAAGTTTTTTCACTCTCTCTCCATCACATCAATTTTTAGACGCATGCATGGAGCATTAAATGTAGGTAAAAAAAATAACTAATTACACAGTTTGGTTGTAAATCACGAGACGAATCTTTTGAGCCTAGTTAGTCGACAAAGTTTGTCAAACACAAACGAAACGTGCTACAGTGACCAGATTGCAAAAATTTGCAATCTAAACAAGGCCGTAGTTTTTCTGCGTAATTTTTTATGTTGTGCAACTTTTTGAGTTATTGTTTTTATGCAGGCCTGATGGCAAGAAGAAGGCTTACGTGAAGCTGACGCCCGACTACGATGCTCTTGATGTGGCCAACAAAATCGGCATCATCTAAGTTACTGCATTAGGCATCTGTGTCCTAGTTCTATGTGAAACCAGAGTTTTTGTAGCTATGGCTCAGTGGCTCCATTACCATGTCTTGATGCAGACTAATGAATTTGATGTCATCCAAGTGACTGGTTGCGCTAGTTTGAGCTCTGCACTTCATGTACTTGGATACCATCAGCTTTTCTTATGTCACCAGTAATATTGTTTCTCATATTGGGTTGGTTTTTGCAACTAAGTCGGGTTGGTTTTTGCAACTAGGTCTTTCTGAGCCTGCGACAAAATATCTGTTTCGAGTATAATGGCATCTGTTGCTGGAACCTGCATGATGCGTGGTGCTAATGCCAAACAGACCATCACTGTTTTATTGCTATCGATGTGAAGTGCCGGTTTCGTGTGCAAATTGAAACAGGCCGGCGTCCACACCAGCCACCCGGACACGTTATCACCATTTCTCGCGCGCCACGCTCGCACAACCAAGAACTCAGCGACGCTCCCGGACTTGTTGGTCCTGAGCCGTGAAGTTCGATACCAGGTCCTGATAGGGACGTTATTTTGCAAATAATTAAGGCAACTGCTGGGGCCCGGATATCTGATGGGATAGGATTCCAACGGACGATACCGAACGGCTCAGCAGAAACGTGCCACACTCTCATCGTATCGCTGGAGTCCTCACCTGTTTGCCTCGTCCCGCCACGCACGTATACTCCGCCCGTCTCTGTCTCGTCTCACGCTCATTCCTCCTTCCCCTAACCCCTCCTCCTCCCTCACCGGGGGGACGGAGCTGGTAGTATAAGGACGAGCATGCCCGTCATAGACTCCAGCGTGCTGCCGCGCCCCATCTGCTAGCCACCGGTCGCCACGTCATTCCCCCGGCAGCCCGGCCGTGCCCCCAAGGGCCAATGATTACAAGTCGTCCGATTAATCGTCCTAATCGGTCCTTGGTGACCGATTAGGGGCACCGCCGACTTGTACAAGTCGCCCGATTAATCATGATTAATCGTCCTAGTCGATCCCATGGCGATTAGGTTCGACTAGATGACTCGTAAACATTGCCAAGGACTCTCTGAACATACCTCTGAAACATGAAACACTTGCAATATGAAACACTTGAATGCAACATACGTCTGAAGCAGATGAAACATTTAGAACATGCGCTTGCAACATGTGTGTAAAACATATGCAACATCCAGATAAAACACTTGCAACTTGCAACATGAAAATACTTATTGCAACATAAAGACAAACAACTGAAACATTTCGAACATACTCTTTGCAACAAATGTGTGAAACATATACAACATCCAAATAAGCACACTTGCAACATACGTCTGAAAAAGCAGATGAAACGTTTGGAACATCATGATCTATTTTTGCAACATGTGCAACATCATGATCCATTTTTGTAACATCCATATGAAACACTTGCAATATACCTCTAAAACATCTTAAACAATTGAAACATACTCTTACAACATGCGCTTTCAACATAGTGTTCGTTGGAGGCAGCAGCTTGGCTGCGGGGCGGCGGCAGTGGCTACACGTTGCGCAAGGGAGGCATCGGCCGCACGAGCGGCGAGGAGGCCGCAGGCGCGCAACTTGTAGAGGGCAGCAGCGCGCCGCACCTGGCAGGGCCGCCGGTCAAGCACCGCAATTCAGAGGTGGTCGTGCGCTATGCCTGGCAAGGCCAGCGCCCGAGCGGTGCGCCTCGGAGGTGGCTGTGCGCTGCGCCTCGGAGGGCCAGCAGCCGTGCGCTCGGAGGCGGCAGACAAGCGGATAAGAGCGATAGAAACCAAAATGAGTGGATAGGAATAAGTGGATGTTTTATAAACGAAGGAGCATGGGTTCTTAGGCTGACGTCGCGGCCTACCAGCAAAGCGTCCGGGCAGACAGACGCTGGTTCAGAGCGGAATAATTAACGTTTATATGCATTTTAGTTTTTATTTATTGTATTTCCAGTTACAAATTAGACAACTTCGATGCTCTATTAATTGAAAGAAGGGAAATATTGTCATTTGGTCTTTTGGCCCAAATATGCTGGGCTAGGCCCGGCTTGGCTCTACCGTTTTACACCAATCCACTCCTAGATCCAGGTGCATTCAAAATTGGAGACACAATCATTCTCAAAAAAATTGGAGACACAATCCTCCTCATTATTTATTTTTTTCTGAAAGGCCGATACACATTTCAGACCAGAGAAAAAAAATACGTACGTAAAACTAAAATTCAATTAGGCCCGTGTTTAGTTGGTTGAAAAGTTGGAATTTGACTACTGTAGCACTTTCGTTTTTATTTGGCAATTAATGTTCAATCATGGACTAATTAGGCTCAAAACGTTCATCTCGTGATTTCCAACCAAACTGTGCAATTAGTTTTTTTTTATCTACATTTAATACTCCATGCACGTATCGTAAGATTCGATGTGATGAGTACCGTAGCACTTTTTTTTTTAACTAAACACGGGCTAGGGCTCGCGGTGCTATCACGGTGCCCAATCGATCGGCAACAGGTGCATCGAGTCGAGTCGCATTCAGGCCAACCCGACCCCGCCCAGCATGACAGAGATACAAGAGGTTGCAGAGATACAGATATAGAAGCAGCCAGCGGCCCCCCGGATTCTACCAAGAGGCCTCTTCTACCAACCCCAGTCCCCGGTGTCCGGGGAGATCCATGATCCCATCCTTTCCCTCCACTGCTCCACATGCTCGGCGCCTTCCTTGACACGTCACTACCGCCCCAGCCCCCAGCGCAGCCGCGGACGCCTGCCCCCGCCACCGCCAGCGCCATGGACCACGACCACCTCAAGGACCGCCTCCTCCTCCCGTCCTCCCGCGCCGCGGCGACGAACGGGCCCCACCACCGCCGCGCCACGCCCGCGCCGGGCACTGGCGCCGGAGGCCCACCGTGTGGCGGCGGAGCCGGCGGCGTGTCCATCGACGTCAACGGCCTGAAGCGACGCGGCGGCGAGAGGCGCTCGTGGGTGCGCGTGGACGCGGGGACGGGCGCCGCGGAGGCGGTCGAGGTCGCCAAACCGGCGCTGATGCGGCGGCTGGACCTGCCCGCGCGGGACCTCCGCCTCCTCGACCCGCTCTTCGTCTACCCGTCCGCCATCCTCGGCCGCGAGCGCGCCGTCGTCTGCAACCTCGAGCGGCTGCGGTGCATCATCACCGCCGACGAGGCGCTCGTCCTGCGCGAACCCGACGCCGCAGCGGAGGAGGCCGTGCGGAGGTACGTCGACGAGCTGCAGCGACGCCTCGTCGACCGCGCCGACGACCTGCCTTTCGAGTTCATCGCGCTGGAGGTCGCGCTCGAGGCCGCTTGCTCCTTCCTGGACTCGCAGGTGCCAGTGCCACTCTTATTATCGGGATCAGTTTCCTTTTGGGTCCTAGTGGAGAGCTCCGATTCGCATTGCCTCCTTCACGTCTCTGCTAATGACACTGCATGATGAGCTTGATTGGCTTGGTCATCTCGAAGTGAGCTGTGTGCCTGGGACCAGTCGAGCACTCGAGCCCACTTAGTACTTTGAACCCTCTCACTGGGCTACTGTATATGTCTGATAAGCACTGTCAGTCTGCTATCATGTCCGGTTTTCTAATTAGCCTTGTCGATTATCAAATAGCCAAATTAGTAATGGTTTTTTTTTCAGTGGTGAAGTAACTGAAGTTTGGTGCACCATGTGCCAGCTGTTGGTTTTAGTGTTTCTTGATCTATTGTTCATTTGTCTGATTCCTGCATCTCAGATTGCTTACCAGTTAGCACCACCAAATTTTACTAATAATGAAACTGTCTTAACATATTTACAGTGAACTTACCCATACTGTATTATCAGCTTGCGTACTTTTAGTTATGTCCAATGTTACTGATAATGATTTGGTGGATCATCAGTAAAAATAAAGTGATTGCACATTTTTTTCAGGCTATTGAATTAGAGGCTGAAGCTTACCCATTACTAGATGAGCTGACAGCAAAAATTAGTACCCTCAACTTGGAACGAGTTCGACGCCTAAAGAGCAAGTTGGTTGCATTGACAAGGAGAGTCCAGAAGGTAAAAGGATGGTCATACATAATGATGCTTTTGCTTGCTGTGATCCCTTAACAACTTTTTTTTTTTCAATATTCCTATCCATTTTTTCACTTAAGGTCAGAGATGAGATAGAGCAGCTGATGGATGACGATGGTGATATGGCTGAAATGTATCTCACTGAGAAGAAGATGAGGATGGAAGCATCAATGTTAGATGACGAGGACCTTCAGGGAATTGGCAATAGTCATAATGGGTTTGATTCATCTCTGTCAGCTCCAGTTTCACCAGTTTCCACACACCCTGCAACTCGGAGGCTTGAGAAGGAATTCAGTTTTGCCAGAAGCAGGCACAGCAGCTTCAAGAGCTCAGATAGCAGCCAGTACAATATAGAAGAACTGGAAATGTTGTTGGAGGCCTACTTTGTTGTTATCGACTACACCCTCAGCAAGTTGACTTCGGTATAAATTCTGAATTGTGTATATGTTAGCATTGTTTCTATTTTACAGATTATTGTGACTGACAATTTGCTACTCACACATTTTTTCAGTTAAAAGAGTATATTGATGATACAGAAGACTTCATCAACATACAGCTGGTAATTCACCCTCAAAATCAATTAAATTCCCACTATGTAGATGCAGGAATTTGCTTGTTGCGCAGCAAAGCTGCAAAGTTAGGAGTTGTCTATAGCTACTCCTGAACGACTGTGTGAAAGCACGTAGATGATTATTCATCTCTTAATGTTTAGTTGGCATGTAAGTTTGGATAGCATAACTAAACAAGATTGAATGCTGCCATTTGTTTTTTTAGAATAGCATGATAAGTTAGCATGGAAATGTTAGGCGCACTACTTAGCAAGGTTGAATGCTCCTTTTTGTTTTGAGAATGACATCTTAAGTTAGCTTGGAAATGTTAGGCACACTACTTAGTGAGGTTGAATGATCCTTTGGATTTGTGAGTATAGCGTGCCAACTTTCGATAATATGATGCGGACAGTAGCCTGAGCTTCAGTTGAGCTGCAGCATTGTGCAAATGAACTTAATGTTGGCATAGAGAGGCTTTAGGTATGCTCTAAGTTGGCTTGCATATCAGATGCCTGCAGGAGGCTGCTGGCCTTCAACTGAATATCTTCCATATTGCTGTATTCATGTGGATTTTCAGATTTCTGTGTGACAAAAATCTTTCCCTTTTGACCACCTTATGAAGTCGACAGCCAGTAGCCATTGTTTTTCACAGTTTACATTTAAACCGTGGCCATTAGAACCGACTCATATGATGGCATTCAGGCACTAGTTTCAATTGTAGAATCCAATTCCAATGCAGTGGACTATATAATTAAGATGGGGCTTATAGAAGTAATAACTTGAAAAGCTTGCCTATGCTAAACATTAAACGCATCTGGAACCCTGCAATGACTTTGTACAGAACAACATACTAATCTTGGTTAATAAGCAGTAACAGTGACTGGTGCTGGCCAACAAATTTCAACCATCTTTCCTTCTACAGTATTTCGGGGGTTAGGATAGTAGGCTGGAAAGATTCGATGACACCTTTCCGTGAACGAGTGAGATGCATTTTCTCTGGCCTATTTCTGTTACAACTTGTGCCCCCAATCCTTTATATAAAAAGAAAGATGCTCACAAATGCTGCTGTTGCAGGATAACGTCCGGAACCAACTGATCCAATTCGAGCTGCTCCTGACCACGGCCACATTCGTGGTGGCCATCTTCGGGGTGGTCTCGGGGGTTTTCGGCATGAACTTCGAGGTCCCTCTTTTCTCGGTGCCCCACGCGTTCGAGTGGACACTTGCCATAACGGGGGTCTGCGGCGCCGTCATATTCTGCTGCTTCCTCTGGTACTTCAAGAAGAGGAGGTTTTTCCCCTTGTAGGTGAAAGCTTTTCAATCGCCCGGTCCAGAGTCCAGACAGCAGCGTATGGAAATCGGTTACGGCAATTGTACATGCATTTTTCTCGAAAATGCGCCGTGATAGAGCCGCAGTGTCTGTACACGTGAGCTTTTCTCCTTTTAAGCTTAGGGCGCTGAGCCTCTGATCGTGTAGCTTCACCGTGTGTACTGTACACTTTTATTATTGTTGCTGGGTGTACTGCATGTAACACTGTTCCGCCCTGGAAGAGGAAAAGAGCCCAGCTGTTCTCTCTGCCTTCGCAGTGCGTGTCGTTGCTGTGGTGAGTACAGGAAGCCTTATGCTCCAGTGGTACCAGGAGCTTTGCCTTCACGTGATCACGACAAGAGAGAGCAATACCGACGCGTGATTGCAGGTACTAGTAGCAGTTGTAAACTTGAGCTGCAACTGCAACCGTGAATTTGCACTTGCGTCTCCAGTATAGTATAACAAAAAAAAATTGGGCCTGAAGCTGCTTTTGCTTCCTGCTAACCACCGCGGAATGCGTACACAGACTGGACCGGCACACATAGCACATTTCCATTGGTGCGTTTTGTGAGGGACCAGCACGTAGTATTTTCGTGGCGATCGATGGATGGCTGTCGTTTCTAATAATTTCTTCCCTGAGAAAGCGATCTTTGCTTGCTGATAGCCACCTCTCTGTTAAGTTATTCTGTGATTTGCTTACACGTGGAAAAAATGGCAGATGGTAGACCACACAAGCAGACGATTTCCGTATGTACCGGGGCCCTGTGTATCTGAGTGTGCTGGCGCACCGAGTTCTCCAGCTCCGTTCTAGGGGGTCCACTGCCGCGGAGGTGCGCTCCTCGGTGCAGGAACACCCGGTGCACCCCCACCCAACATCGGGTCAAACTGTGCAGTAAAAACTCCCAAGTGATCCAATGGGTGCTTGGTCCCAAGTTCAGACAGGGTCCAGCCTTTATTCATTATTATTCAGACGGTGAAAACCTCGTCAATCTCTAGGTGGACAAATTTGTCGTTGCTGTTGCTGACCACGTAAAAAGAAAAGAAAAGAAGGAATGTCACTCTATTTTTATCTTATTTATCGAACTATTTTAAATTTGATCAACATTTTGATAGAAAATAGTTACTTCATGAAACAAATTTCATGATAAATGTAATAACACTTACTCCCTCGACCCTATAAAAAGTGTTATTCTCAATTCTCGAGAAGTCAAACATTTTTAACTTTGATCAAATATATAAAATATTAATAACTATGATACATAATTACTATCATTAGAGAGATCGTTGAATATATTTTCATAGTAAACTTATTTGCATACAAATATTGCTAATATTTTCTATAAAATTAGTCAAAGTTAAGAAAGTTTGACCAACACGTTTCTCGTTGTGACACTTTATATGGGACAATGGGAGTATTTAGTAATATAAATATTAGTATTTTTTTCCGAATAACATAAATTTGGTTAAATCTAAGACTTAGGATAAAACAATGTCATTTTTTTGGAAGGAGAAAGTACAGTGACTAATCTAGTCATTGTAACCGTTGCAATTTGTCACATGTATATGGGCCAGCAAGTCATTTGCTGATTATTTTAAGACGCCAACAAGAACACAATCTCTGCACAAATCTCACTTAAGATTTGAAATTACTATTATATGCCGCTAAAAAAAATTGCTTCTGTGCAGCTGCATCAAACAAAACCCCTGCCGCCAGTTGCCCTCATCCCCAAGATCTCATTCCCACTCTCCCTGTCTTTTCACCAGAGTTCAAACCTGCGCTACGCTTTTAGCATCAGAGAGAGGAAAGCGATACATATTTGCCACATTTGCTGGCGTGTCACGCCAGCACAGCAGTCCAGCTTGGGTCGGAGGCATTAGGGTCAGGTAAAATGACCGCCCTGCCCCTGGCCTCTCTATTCCCTCCCCCGCGCGGCCTGGCCCACTCCACTCTCCCCTTCTTTCTCCTCTGCTCCGCACGACGCTCGGCCACCGCAGCGCCGCCGCTGCAGACGCGTACACCGCCCCCCTCGAGCCATGTCCCAGTACGCAAAGTCCTCCGCCGCTGGAAGGGTCAGGAGTAGGCTGCAAGGTTTCCGGAGCTCCCGCACTGCTTCCATTGCTATGTATCCAGTTGGTGAGCTAAGCGGGTTCCCGCTGATCCCTTGCCCGGACTGCGGTCTTGCTCGGGTGGTGGAGGCACGGACCAAGAAGGACACTGAAAACCACGGCCGTCTATTCTTCAAGTGCGCGAGGAACGGGGTGAGTTGTGTATAATCTGTTCCCCCTCATTAGCATTTAGGGTTCTAAATCTCCCTCTAAATCTTGTTGATTTTACCAGTTTCCGAAGCTGTGTGGGTACTATCAATTTGAGAAGGAATATTTTCAGCAGTTGAAGGATACCGGCATTATCCTGGTTCGCCCCTCGAATTGGGTAGAGTTGATGATGGAACAGGAAGAGGCTTCAGTTGACAGTCCAAATGGTGACAAGAAGGGGAAAGAACTGGAGCAGAAGATGGAGTTACTGATTCGGCGGATGAACATGCTCATTGCCTGTGTTGTATGTTTTTGCATTTGGGTGTGTACTGATGTATGGTATAACTAAGTGACAATGTAGGCATGTGTACTGATGTATGGGGGATGCAATGATGTATGGAAATGAAATGAAAATTATGGTTCAATGTGTCTTTGTTCATTACCAGTTTTTGGCATATCAAAACATAGCAGAAGGCTATACCTAAGATAACCATAAGTGATGAGACAAAGCAACCATCATACATGAACAAAATCATATCAACACACAATAAGCAGAGCAAACACATTAACTAGATGACATTAAGCAGCAGTACTTAATCCATTTATCAGACATACATTGTTCTAGCCACATACATGAAACACATAAGTTTGTGATGCCCACATATATTGTTCTAGGCACAGACTAGTTGTGGCGACGTACGTAGCATGATCTGGCCAATCAAGGTCGTAGTCACACAAAAGTTACATTTTTGTTGCCTTGACAACCAAAATGAAATTTGCCTTGCTGGCTGGACTCATTTCTTTCCCTTCTTGGCTGGACTCTTCCTTGTCTTTGTAGCTAGCATCTTCCTCCTTGGAGTCATCTTTTTAGCAGGCGGGTCCACCAATGCAGTTGCTGTTTCATCAAGCTCAGACACAACTTGGAGATCCCAGCACAAGCTCCTATTGGTGAACAAATATTTTCAGTATGGCAACAGCTAGATCAGTCACAACATGTATAGTTAGACCTTGCATACCTCCTAGTGCCTGTAGGAGTTGAAGGTGGAGCATGTTCAACCTCAATTGGGGCCACGTCTAGCACTTCCCTCTCTACAGCTGTTGTAGCATCGACTGCTGTAGAAGCTTTAGCTGCAACATCTTCAGCCGCCTTTGCTGCCTTAGCTGCTGCTTCTTTAGCTAGGGCCATCCTTGTCCTTGGAGTGTTTCCTCCACTAGGTGTAGGATCAGCCTTGGTCTTCTTCCTCCCAGGTTTGGGGGCTGACTTTTTGGTTCTCTTCTTGTAGATCAAGTGTTAGCTAACATGGTTAACAGATTTACAAGTAAACAATTAGTTCATTACCTTTTTTTGGTGCCAGTTAGTGAACACCTCCAGCTTCCACTCCAGTGCCCATACTCACCACAACTAGGGCATTTCACCTGTCTTGTTGCTTTGCCACTTCTCTCAGATGGAACAAGATACCTTTTCTTCTTTAGCCTGCCTGGTGGTATGTTCTTCTTTGTAGTTGGTGGGGACAACTTGAAGCCCTTGTCCACCTCTGGCCACTGTCCTCTATCTGTTATCATGGGAATGATCCCACGGTAAGCAGTCTGGAACTTCTCAACTAAATAGTACTTGTCCACAAACTGATCCATATTGGGCTGCCTCTGAGTTGTGATAACAACCAATGCATGTGGGCAAGGCTTTCCAGTAACTTGCCACTCTCTACAAGTACATATATGTTTTGTCAGGTACACAACATGCCTCTTTACCTCTTCATCCTTGTAAATCTTAGTCACTTCTGCTTCCTCTGGGTGACCTTTAGTAACCTTGAGATGGCCTAAACCCCTAGAGGCTGCATTCAGCTGATGGATAACTGCAGATAGTATTCCAGAAGACAGGGCATTTGATATCTTCCTCCTCTTAGCTAAAAGAGTGAGGGTCTTCTCTCTAATAGCATTAGCCGAGCAGTGAACACGTAGATCCTTGTGCTCCTTGATCCAAGCATTCCAACTCTCAGTTAGATTATTATTGATGTAGTCACATTTTATGTCTGCACTAAACTTGCTCCTAGCCCACAACAGGTTGTGATATTGTTTGAGCCATCCAGCCACATCTGGACTAGCTTCCAGTACCTTGTCAAAGAAAAACTTGAACTTGTGGGGTGTATATGCCCTAGCAGCAGGCCACATGTTCTTACCATATACATCTCCTGAGTAGTACTTCTTCATATTCTCCATCAAATGCCTAAAGCACTCCCTCTGTTCACAGTTAGGGAACACCTTGGCCACTGCTGCTTCAAGGCCTTTGCAAGCATCAGTACAAACAACTAGCTTCTCCATAGGGCCTATTGCCTTGCAGAGGTGTTCCATGAATCAAGTCCAATTTTCTTTGGTCTCAGAGTTAAACAATCCAAATGCCAAGGGGTATATCCAGTTATGCCCATCCAATGCCTGAGTTGATGGCAAGTGCTCATTCCAAAGCCCATTTAGCGCAGTTGAGTCTATACTTATATATGGCCTGCATCCATTTCTGAAACCATCAATAGCAGCCTTGAAACAACAAAAAAAAATCTTTTAAAATGAATCTTATCCTCCACAGTCTCTGTATCTATCTCCAATATACTTTTAGGTGATCTCATCTCAACCTCTGCCTTGAATCCATACAACCAGTCAAAGGAGTCATCCCATTTTCCAAATAACTTGTTGGCTGCCCTTTGTCTGCCATAAACTACAGTCTAGTATGCAATCTCTATTTTGTACTTCTCTTGAAGCTCCTCTTGCAGTGCCTTAGGACCCATGGTAGGCTTCCTCTTCAGTAGGTGTATGGCCCTTTCTGCCACCCAAGCCTGTGATGCCATTGTCCCAGCAACTCTAGCTGTAGAAGCACAATTGTGAGTGCCTTGATTTATTTGAATCTGCATAATTAATAAAAGAAGCCTGCATAAGTAACAGTGCATGAAAATAATTACAAAAATTGAAAAACAAGTGTGAAACAAACTAGGAAAAATACCCTGACACTCCCATCATATTGTGTCCTAGCTCTAATAATCCAAGGGCAGCTAAGAGCCCCACAGTTTCCCCTAAGCCTCTTTTTGTCAGAATGAATAGTAGCAAGTTCAAACTCCTTTACTATGGCATGCTGCTTCACTGCTAGCCTTAAATCATCCATACTAGGGTAACAAGTCCCAACTGACATGTCAGGATTATCCCTATCCCACTCAAACATTGGCTCCTCTTCTGCATTGTCATCAACTGGAACAACAGCTTCAGCCATATCACTGTGCATTTTAGCTGTCATTGTAGGGATAGGCACTGCTTCCCTAGCTGCTTCTTCTGCCCTCTCATCTGCAGCCTTAAACCCCTTTGCTTCATATACCTTGTCCTCATCAACAGCTGCATTAGCAAAACCATCATCTTTCTCATCTAGCAGTATGGTCAGATTGGCCCAATCTACTTGCTCTGGTATATCATCAGGCACAAATAGAGGTGGAGGGGGTGGAGAACTACAGGTATCACCAGTGCCCTCTGCATTCTCAGGTATAGAACCACTGCCTCCAACATTATCATGAATACCACTGCCTCCAACATTACCATGAATAGCACTGCCTTCACCAGTTGTGACACCAGAAACACATCTACGAGCAGTACTGGCATTACCAGAGCCTTCCCCATGTTTACTGACCACATCCACTACAACAACAGCAACCCTCTCAGCCCATCTTTCTTTAATTAGCTGATGAAAATGTTCATCCCTTCTGACTTTCCACTCAGAATCACTGTCAGTGTCAACTACCCAGACTGATAGAGTTTGTGATGTCCCCCCCAGATGATCTTTGTGGCCATATCATCATTAAATTTCCCCAGACTGTACTGCAAGTTTCTTTCCAACCACACATCATGCTCTTGGTTGGCCATTTCTACTAGCCCATACTCCCCATCAGTGACGTACTTACCAACCTTAACAACTAATCTAAACGTGTTGCTAGGATCAATCCTGACAGAATCAGTGAACAAAACAAGAATCACAGAGTTAGAAAATATGCTACGCGACATGCTTCCTATTCAAGGTCTATAATTTCGCGTGCAATTCAAGATTGAACTTACCAAATGGGGCACCCGCTAGAATCCATTGTAAGAAGTACTACCAGATCAGCTGCCTACGAATCGCGGATGGAGAAAAAGCCGAATCAGAACGACGAACCCTAACCCTAAAACCAACCTCACAGTGCTATACAGATCGGGGCTACGGTGAGTACCAGAAACATACCTTTACTCCATCGCGAAAGATCTTGGTGGCTTTTGGGACATGGCTCGAGGTGGGGGGTGGGCGGCGGCGACAGCGCTGCGGTGGCCAAGCGTCGCGCGGAGCAGAGGAGAAAGAAGGGGAGAGTGGAGTGGACTAGGCCGCGCGGGGGAGGGAATAGAGAGGCTAGGGATAGGGGCGGTCATTTTACCTGACCCTAATGCCTCTGACCCAAGATGGACTGCTGTGCCGGTGTGTCACGTCAACAAATGTGGCAAATCTGTATTGATTTTCTCTCTCTAATATTAAAAGCGTAGCACCAAAACTAAGGGGGTGTTTGGTTTTCCCTCCTAAACTTTAGTCGCTATCCCATCAAATGTTTAGACACATGCATATAATATTAAATATAGACTAATTATGAAACTAATTGTACAAATTGCAACTAATTTGCGAGACGAATCTTTTAAACCTAATTAGGCCATGATTTGACATGTAGTGCTACAGTAAACATGTGCTAATGACGGATTAATTAGACTTAATAAATTCGTCTCGAGAAGTACCGACGAATTATATAATTTATTTTTTTATTAATATCCAAATACTCCCTACGACGTCCTCACCTCACCTAGTATCTTCAAAATTTTAGACACCGACCCAAACACCCAGCTACGACCGCTGTCTCAGCAGACGTCCTCCGCGGTGACGGTAAAAAGTTAAATATCCCCGCGACGGCAGCACGAGCCACCCAAGTCAGAACTCAGAACTCAGAAGATACAAGTCACCGAGAGGCGAGAGCTAGGTACCTCGCCAAGCCAAATCTACTGCCGACTAGGGATGAAAACGGATCGGATACGAACGGATATCACTCATATTATATTTGTTTTCATATTTCGCTCGGATTCGATTCTATCACGGATAACGTTTCGGATACATATACTGAATACGGATTGACTTTCGATTTACGGATACTTAATAATGAGTATCGAATACGGTATGAATCGGATTCGGAGAAGGTCGGATACAAATATCTATTCGGATATTGAGTAAAAGCGGATATATATATATATATATATATATATATATATATATATATATATATATATATATATATATATATATATATATGCATGAAAACCATTACACCACTCTATGAGTCCATAATCCATTTAGATTAAGCCGAAAGACTAAAGAGTAAAGCAACAAATAAGATAAAGATACGTATACATCATACATCAAACATCGATAAGCACCAATCTTCGCAAGATGAGTAGAAATAGCCAAGCACATTGCTTCATGGGTCTCATGGAGTCATGGTCATGGATTCAAGATCTACAATCCTTATATAGGCCATTTTTCATTTTGAGAAAGTTTGAACAAAATGTAGTTCAAATTTCACAAGTGTGTGACATAGTTTTAGAAAGTCTATATGAGATTTAAGAATTTGTGGCTAGTGTTTGATAAAACTTTCTCAAATGGGAAAATGAGCTATGTAACAATTGTATATCTTGCTGAGATGATCAAACTTGGTATTCAGAGTTTTTTCATCTGAGGTCATTTAGTGTCTCATTTGAGCAAGTTTGACCAAGTCAAATTTGGTCAAATGAAAAAATAACACTTTGACTCTAGTATTATGAACTCTAAATGACTTCAAATTGAAAAGTTTTGAATACCAAGTTTGTTAAACTCATCAAGATCTACAATTATTGTTTTGGTCAACTTTCCATTTGAGATAGTTTGGACGGTTCAAATTTGTGATTTTTAAATTTCAATGCTTACAAACTAGTTTTCGGAACCCTAAATTGTCTCAAATTGAAAAGTTTTGAATACCAAGTTTGTTCAGCTCATCAAGATCTACAATCCTTATATAGGCTATTTTTTCATTTGAGAAAGTTTGAACAAAATGTAGTTCAAATTTCACAAGTGTGTGACATAGTTTCAGAAAGTCTATATGAGATTCAAGAATTTGTGACTAGTGTTTGATAAAACTTTCTCAAATGGGAAAATGAGCTATGCAACAATTGTATATATTGCTGAGATGATCAAACTTGGTATTCAGAGTTTTTTCATCTGAGGTCATTTAGTGTCTCATTTGAGCAAGTTTGACCAAGTCAAATTTGGTCAAATAAAAAAACAACACTTTGACTCTAGTATTATGAACTCTAAATGACTTCAAATTGAAAAGTTTTGAATACCAAGTTTGTTCAAATCATCAAGATATACAATTTTTGTTTTGGTCAACTTTCCATTTGAGATAGTTTGGATGGTTCAAATTTGTGATTTTTAAATTTTAACGTTTACAAACTAGTTTTCGGAACCCTAGATTGTCTCAAATTGAAAAGTTTTGAATACCAAATTTGTTCATCTCATCAAGATATACAATCCTTATATAGGCCATTTTTTCATTTGAGAAAGTTTGAACAAAATATAGTTTAAATTTCACAAGTGTGTGACATAGTTTCAGAAAGTCTATATGAGATTCAAGAATTTATGACTAGTGTTTGATAAAACTTTCTCAAATGAAAAAATGAGCTATGTAACAATTGTAGATCTTGCTGAGATGATTAAATTTGGTATTCAGAGTTTTTTCATTTGAGGTCATTTAGTGTCTCATTTGAGCAAGTTTGACCAAGTCAAATTTGGTCAAATGAAAAAACAACACTTTGACTCTAGTATTATGAACTCTAAATGACTTCAAATTGAAAAGTTTTGAATACCAAGTTTGTTCAACTCATCAAGATCTACAATTGTTGTTTTGGTCAACTTTCCATTTGAGATAGTTTGGATGGTTCAAATTTGTGATTTTAAATTTTGAATAAATATCCTGATAATATCCGCTTTTAAATATCCTGGATATATCCGACACTTATTCGGATTATCCGATATCCACCGGATATCGATGATATTACATCCGTATTTGATATCCGCCAAGATATCCGCTTTAGTATCCGTGATCCGAAAAAAAAGCCGGATATCCGAAAGAATTATCCGGAGATAAGTGTTCATATTTGTTCGGTCGAACGGACGGTCGAATAAATATCCGTACCGTTTTCATCCATACTGCCGACCACCACGGCAGGCACCCTCCAGGCCTCCAGTCCTCCACCCACCCACCCACCAATACCAGCGGCAGTAAATTCCGAGCAGCCTCTGCCGAGGCTCGAGGCTCCCCTCCTCGCTCCCCCACCCGCCTCCTCCTCCTAGGGTTTCCTCTCGGCTCGCCGGCGTGCCGCATCGCCTCGCCATTGCCGCGGGTCCTGGCGCGGGGCGTTCCGCCGCTCGGGGTCCCCCGAATCGAGCCTCGAGGGAGCTGTTCGTGCTGATTCCTGCGGGGTCTTGTGGCTCGGACTCTGGGGGCGTCGGTTGGGAAAGGTTTTGACACCTGTGGGGGGTTTGGATCGAGGGCCCTGAGCTGCGTCTCCGCAATGCCGGGCTGGTCTGGCGGCGATTGCTAGGGTTTTCAGGTCGGATTTCGGCGGAAGAGCTGAGGTTTTGCTTCGAATGCGGGAGCTGTCTGCAATCCGCAGCTTGCCTCGGCCGGAGTTCGGTGTTTCCGCAGCAATGCCTCGCCGATTTTAGCTCGCTCTGGGGGTTCTGAAGGGCGCAGGGTCTGTCGGGCGGTTAGAGATTGCAAAGGAGTCGGTGGCTCGGTCCAATGTCCGGGGCTAGCGCGAGGGGGCGGCTGTCGCCGGCGTCCGGCGGCGGCGGGGACTCCGAACCGCGGTCCGCGAGGGGCCGGACGCGCTCGGTGTCCGCTACTCGCGGCCGGAAGCCCTCACCGAGGCCCGGGAGGGATGCAGCCGCGGCGGCAGGGGCAACGGAGGACAAGAAACCTGCCGCCGTGCCCACATTGCTGCCCTCGCTCAGCGTGCCCGCAGGGATGCGTCGGCAGGAGCTGCTGCTGCGCTCGGGGCTGTCTCTTGACGCGTCCTGCTCCTCGGACGCGTCCACGGACTCCTTCTGCAGCCGGGCATCCACGGGCCGGATTGGGAGGCCGGCATTTGGGGCTAGGAAGAAGAAGACCCTCTCTCAGACTGATTACAAGCCTGTTTCCATGCTGGAAAGGGAGGGTGGATTGGCTTCCCAGACTGATGCTGCTGGTGTGAAGAGGAGGTGCGCGTGGGTGACAGCAAATACTGGTGCGTGCTTCTGGCTTTCATGTTTTTAGCATTTGATTTAAGGGTAACCTGCAATTTGTTTAGTATAACAGTTTGTAGTGCTTTAATAGTTACCCTGTCGCTAATAGAGAAGCTAAATTTTGGGTCTATGCGCAACTAAAGGCCTATCTCTCAGTAAGACAGAATCTAGAATGCTAGTTGACTTAAGCTTGGGCTTTGCATAGTGGGAATTGGGAGCCATCAGCCATGTCAATTGTTTATGATAGGGGCATTGTAGTCTCCAGTTCTCCTACGAGCATTATTCTAAGATCACAAAATTGAAATGATAAGAATGATGTTTCTGTATGTTTAAGTTGCTATTTGACATTGAACCGATTCATTCGGAGCAGAGGTTAGAACAATCTGGAAGTGATATCCAAAATGCTGTTTCTTTTCTCATTAGATTCATGTTCTACAGTTTTTTTTTTAATTTTTTATTCAGGAATCAGAAAGTTTACCTAAAAATATCCAAAATGGGAGTTGATAATGTTATGCACCAAGGTTCCTTGCTAACCTCTAGTTTGATCATGAAAACGACTGAAATTGAGTCTGCTATTGAGGGTTACAAATTTGGTCAAGGTGTAGGATATTTGTCACCCGTTTGCCCAATAATACACATGTTGAAGTGAACTAGATGATTTCTTTATTCGTACATTGTGTTAGCTTAATCTGCGCCTCATTTATCAGTCAAAAGTGATAGTTCATTCTGAAATCAAGTTATGACCTTATATGTTTCAATGCATATGAGACCCATGAGCACAATGTAGGCTGTTACTGTTCACTACGCATCATTTATTCATGTTCATTGACAGAGCAATAGAACTTCTATTTTTTATTCTCCTTGTATGTATTGAATATTTATTTTGATTATCGTTTACAATTGTAGATCCCTGTTATGCTGCATTTCACGATGAAGAGTGGGGAGTTCCTGTTCACGATGACAAGTATGCAGAAACAACTGTTGGTATATATTTTTTCTCATAACATCATCAACTATTAAATAATCAAACGCTTCATATAAATTGCAGGAAGTTATTTGAGCTGCTAGTGCTGTCAGGGGCATTAGCTGAACTGACATGGCCAGCAATTCTGAATAAGAGAGACATATTCAGGTACCTCTTTGCATTTCCTTCTGTTCCTGAACCTATTACTGTGGCTGGGAATCTTAGTAATCTACTTGTATGGTTCACAGGGAAGTTTTCATGGATTTTGACCCAGTATTGGTCTCAAAATTAAGTGAGAAGAAGATTATTGCACCTGGAAGTCCTAGCAGCTCCTTGTTATCTGAACAGAAACTGCGTGGTGTTATTGAAAATGCACGCCAAATACTCAAGGTTACCACTTCGTACTCTTGAACTTTTTGTTGGCATGATAGAGTCTAGATACTGTTTTATTTAAAAATGATGATGTGGTTTGTGGGATAGCTTGAAATACAACCACACATGTATTTACCCTCCCCTTCTTAAAACAAGGATGCCTTTAGCTGATGCCTTCTTAGATATTACTTGTTCTTGTCTGAATTAAGTGCATGTCATTGCAGATCATAGAGGAATTTGGATCATTTGATAAATACTGTTGGAGCTTCGTGAACCACAAACCTATATTGAGCCGATTCAGGTACTCTCGTCATGTGCCTGTCAAAACATCAAAAGCAGATGCCATAAGCAAAGACTTGGTTCGAAGGGGTTTCCGCAGTGTCGGCCCAACAGTCGTTTATACCTTCATGCAAGTCTCTGGCATGACTAACGACCACCTTATCTCCTGCTACCGTTTTGCTGAATGTGTGGCCTCCTCAGCTGGTGCTGTTAAACTTACCGATGGAAGCCTAGCAAATTCAAGTGATAGCAACCATGCCACGGCAGAGCAGAAGATGAACGGGACGAATGGGCTGGATTCAGATATTGAACTCTCCAGGACTATAGATGAGCTCAGCATTTCATAGCGGTTAGGAGGGGCGCTGAGACGAGATGGTGTTAGCTTGTGTATTTTGTGTGCTGTAATGTAGGTGTGATTCGGTGTCCTTTTTCTATAGTTTTACCACTCGTCAATGTAGGGTAGAACAATCTTAGTCTTGGGCGTGTCAGGACCATTGAGCGACAGCAGTGTAATGATGTATATTCTTTGTGATGCGAGTGCACCTGTTTTCCTGCATTTCAGTTGAGCTGGCTTTCGCCAGTGTCGGTACCATATGCTTTTGTTCCCTAATCCCTCGTGTGCTTAATATCTGCACTTTTGCGAATACAAGCCTGTCGTTCCTTAAAACCAGTCGTCGACCGGAAGAAGGTTACGGAATCAAATGGAATGGTTGAAACAACAACGGTTCGAACAGCAAGTTCTGACTTCAGAGATGCTGTTGACAAAAAGGGGTAGTTGTTATCGACGTGAAGGCATGTGAGGGTGTGTGGTGATTCAGATAGGATAACGTATCCAGCTGGAACATCAAGGTCAGGGTGTATCTGAAAGATATCTGAAAGGCTGAGTGCCGCTGCATTTTTTGGTTGTAAAGCAACAGCCAAGCCAAGCTACTCCCTCTGAACTTGCTGCTTGTAGCTCTCTCTGAACTATCTATCGATGTCTCTGCCTCCCGGGAAACCGCACGGTTTAAGGCGACAGCTCGTTCGGTTCCTACACCATTGCCGTCGTGCCTCCAAGAAGGTCGAGGGTTGCCCCCCTAGTCGATGGACGATGGCAGTCGCTGTTGCGGCCGCTTCTGGAGCCGTCCTCAACAGCGCCGCTTGTTTCAGGGCTATATGCAGTTGCGGAGTTCGGACCGAGCGGACTGAGACAAACGGCGAGTGAGTGGTAGCCAGAAGCTTTGTTCACCACGGCCCAATCGTCGCCAGATACAAAGGCATCCATCGGAGCGTCATCAGCTTTGTTCACCACCGGCACGGCTTTTTCCCCTCCCGTGCGCGTTTCCTAAAAGGCTCGCCCATGGCGGTGGCTAAGAGTGAAGATACACAGGTGCATATCTAAGTTTGGAGAAGCCATGGGTAGAGGAGGTTTGATGCCAATGGCGAAGAGGGACCTTGCGCTAAATAGTTCCTATGAGTAGCGGTTCGTCTCCCCCAAACCGCGTGGGAGACGATGCTCTCTCGGTCATGGGTTAGCGGTTCACCTCCCCCAAACCTCGTGGAAGCCGACGCTCGCTCGATCGTGTGTTAGCGGTTCGCCAGCGCGCAAAACACGTCATTTTGGCTTTGTTTCAATCGGAGTACATGATAACGTTCAATTTGTGCACATTATTCGTGAACACCGGACTATACTTGGGTGTTTCGTGTTGACAGCTTCGTAGGACCAATCATCACCAACGGTATGCGCTCCCTTCACCGCCGCTTATAGCCAGCGGAGATGGTACGTCCAAAATTTCCAAGCCTTCGCGTGTCTCCCGCGCGAACTATAGAAAGTTTTGATGAAATTTCCATTCCCGCTGCTCCTACTATTTGTTACTCGGCGAGACCGCTCCCCACCCTGTCTCCTCAGTGCCGCTCCTGCTCACTAGTGCTCAATGGCGAATCGGCCCCTACTCATCGGCGTGCAAGCGGCCACTCTGAAAGATCCTAAATGGCCAGAGAGGTGTGTAAATAGCCTAATAAAAAATCTATAAAACACTATAGCAACTTGATTAGTAACACTAAATGGCGAAATATGGTTTTACTCTAGCTCTAATACAAAGGCAATCCACCTATCCACAATTCTAGTTAATTATGATCTCTAAGGCACACAAAGGCTATGCCTGTAGTTCTACACTAGTGAGCTAGCTATGATCAACTAATTACCTCTAGCTACACAACTAGGCTACACTAACTAAACTAGAGCTACCACTACACAAGTAATGCTAGAAATGTAAGTACAAGAGGAGTGTGAATTGTACCGAGCCGGCAAGAGATAAATCAATAACAATGAAGTCCAATTTGACACAAGATTTATCCTGAGGTTCACTTGCTTGCTGGCAAGCTACGTCCTCGTTGTGACGACTCACTCACTTGGTGGTTCACACGTTAATTGGCATGCACAAGCCAAACCCTACACAAGGGTGCCATAAGAACCAACACAAGATGAGGGTACACAAGTCACGAGCATTCCACTAAAGTGGCTTTTGGCGCTCCGAAGGGGAATAAGCCCAAGAACCCCTCACAATATCACCGGGAATGGCCACGAACAATCACAAACTTGTGCCAAAGCTCCTCCGCTACTCCAAACCGTCTATGTAACACCCTCGGTGTTACACCCTAAATCATTTACTAAGACATGTCATGAGCATCATATTTATGTGTTAGTGCATGTGGAGTGCATAGATGAAGCATTACAATTAAAACGATCAATACAAGTGTTAAACAAAAAGTTACTCCATAACTCATACAGTGAACAAGTAGGGTTGTAAACCAATTTTTATTGAACAAAAACACTATAGAACACACATGTGACACTTAAATAAAGTTTAAAATATGAACTTTGTAGATGACAGTAAAATACTTGCTGTTGAAAAATGATATTACTAACTAATATTTCTACTAGCCTAGAAATTGTAAATTAAAATCATGTTCAGCTCAAAAACTTAGAAAAATTTCCAAGTTTGTCAACAGCTAGACAATGCTATGTTTAGCAAATTATTTTGAGAGATTGTGTTAAGGGGTGGTGTAGTGTTATAGCTCGATTTGGTAGTCTCATATACCATTTTGAGCGTAGCTAAGACCGTTTAGGTTTTGTAGTAGCGGTTTAGTCGCGGTGGGAGCTTTAAAAACCATGCATAGCACGTCCTCGGCTTGTTTCCTTGAGTGGGCGCGGTCATCGCGCCTCAGGGGCACGACGTCGTCGCGTCGATGCATCTTGAGCGCGCCTGCGCGCTGTCCGTGCTCAGCTAGCCTTGCCAGCCGTCCGGTCCGTCGGGGGCACTGCGGTGTGGGGCCTCTGCTGCCGCTCACGCGGCCGTGCGGTGCTGCCCCTATCCCGCGCACTGCAGCGCTGCCAGCCCGCCGTGTGTCACGACGCATCCGCTACCGTTGCCGTCACGTCATCCTTGCGCTGCGCCTCTGGCCTGGTTGGATGCCACGCGCACGTGGCCGTGCTTACCGTCGCCATGCCATTGATGGCACTGCGGCGCGCGGGCCACGCCGGTTGCGAACGCGTGTGCCTGTCTGCTAGCGCTGGACGTGGGTCTCCACGGTCATGCCAACCACATCTAGCCAAGGCGCGATACGCCGAGCCACCAGCCGTACCCCACCACCCTCTCTCTGTTTCTCATCTCTCTACCGCCGTTGAGCCGCGCCCACGTGCGAGCCAGAGAGCGGTCACCTCTACTCAATTCCGCCCGTCTGCACCTTCGCCCTCCCATCTTCTCGCTGCCCGACCCTGCTCAGCCATGATGACGCCCCGACCAAGCGCCAATCTGGCTCCTTTCCACCGGCGTGCCGTTAAGGCCACGCCTCGGCCATGACCGAGGGCAGACCACCATTCCTCCACCCAAGCCCAATTACTTGCGCCACTACATTCGCCTTGCTCTCCTCTTAGGCCTGCGCACCCTAGTCCAGTCACTGTCGCCTCTATTCCACCACTTACGCGACCATGCCACCGCGGTACGCTGCCGCACGGTTCGACCGCATGCGGCCAGCCTCCCTCCGTCGCTCTCCACTCCAACCCTCACTGCGGCTTGGCTTATGGTAGTCCCTTGATGCTCTCACGGTAGCTGGTTGGGACCGTACCAGCTCTAGTTCATCGGGGCGGCTGCGCCACCGTCGTGGCCGGCCATGCGCCGCCGTAGCCATCTCTGGCTCATCCCGTAGACCCACATCGCTGCTAGGTGTAGGTAGTGGAACTCTAGATGATGAGTGTCGACCCGACCGATGGGCCGAAGTGGACCTCTGGTGGCTGGCGTAGCTTCTCCATGCCACCGCTCGCCGCGCCGCCACACGCGGGGTCACCAGGGGGTGTGAGCGGGAAAATTTTTGGAATTCTGGGGGGTTAAGCGAGAGTAGTTGTGAGTGATAGGACTCCGGTGCAGTTTGGGAAGAATTTGGGGTGCTGGCCGCAAAAGCGCCTCGCGCGCGGGCTCTCTCTCTGTCGCGGGCCGGCTTGCTTTGCGTGGGCAGGGTCAGCGGGCCACGTGCGCGCGCGCTGTACCGCGCGTGTGGGCCGTGCGGAGAGATTCATTTTTCGTTTTCATAAGGAACTAGAAATAGTTTTCTAATTTAATTTCTGAGCTGATCTTTGATACTTAATATAAAATCATATAGGTGTCCAAAAATTGCGAAACAAATTTTGTTAGGTTCCTAAAATTGTGCTCTATCTATTGGTGTATTTAGTTTATGTTTATATGTGTTGACATTAGGGCTATTAAATCAATTGAGGATGCTTAATAATATTAAGTTAATTGGTGATAGCTTTAGTCCTGAAATCTTTATAGTAGCTTTATTATATTATTGTGTGGTCACTATAATTTTTGTGGCTTTAGAATAGACTAAGCATCAGGGTAGTTAAATGCTCTTTGTTTCAATATACATTAAATCATCAATAGAAATAAAGATATATTCTTCATTTATAAAGCTAGGTGTTTGTTAGTTGAACTCAACACTTTGCTTCGTAAAGATGATAGTTAGCTTAGTACCTTGGTCATTAGAGCTAGCTTAGTAGCTTAGTATGCGTATTCTTAGTCTAAGAGTTGTTGTTGCCTAAATGCTAAGTGTTACATCATCATCGCATGCATGTACAGAATGAGTTGGCGGAGATCGTGACCACCGGCGATCACGAGTTCGAGGAGATCATCGAGGAGTACTGTAATTGCATCTAGCCCTTTAGTGGGTTTTGGTGAAATGAATGACAACACCATTAAAGGTCTAACAAGTTTGCTAAGTGTTGAACATGAAATTGAGTTTATTGCATACACTTGTGGATTGTGGAATGAGAAGTGTATACCGGTTCAACAAGAAGGCAAACTTGATGATA